AGGATTTTTACAATCCGGTCCTTCTATTTATAAATTATAATAATAAGATAACTCAATTTAATAATTGTTACAATCAAGTAATCAATTGTAACTAAAAGACCAACAATCGTTGCATAATTAACAATAATAAGTGTGTTTGTAACAATCATTTATAATCTTATTAATAATGCATATTATTTCTATTATGGAAGCACATCATTTTAATCAAGAGTGTTGGATGGATCGAATCGAGCTGCTTGATATCGTAAAATAAGAATATCAAAATAAAGCAATAATTATAACAAAGAACAAGCAACAATGACATGCAAATGATATGATATAAAATGAAGATTAAAATACGAGGCAAATGTGTAGGGAGAATTGCAAATGTGTTGGAAGCTCAAAGGAATATATAGTATGTAGCCATACCAGATGTTATGTCTTCACCTTCGAGTTAATGCTGCGTTTGCTATGACCGTTCACCGGATTCTTCTTGGAAGCAACCGAGCATCGATCGCTTTGCCCACCCTTACTGTTCATCTCGACGTGAAGTCTGCGCTGCCTCATTCTATTCTCCAAACGTAGTCCTCTTAGAGCTCAGTCCCTCTGCTCGATTTCTAGAGCTTGTGAGAAGTTCCAAATAAGAACGACGCCTTCCTCACCACCACCGCAGACGATTTGATCTGCTCCGATATCAACCGAGTACAGATTGCACCCGAATCCATGCAGCATTCTCTGGGGTGGTTCTGTAGTATTTTGGTCAGATTCTTTAACCTTAGGAACTCTTTTCCCTAATGACTGCCTACTGGCCTTCAACAACTTTCGAACATCAATTCAAGCGAGTTTCCCATCACTGGAAGCTGAAACAAGCCAAGGAAACTCAAATGTGAGGGCATAAACGGCTCCTGAGTGAGGAATCCATGTTGCGACCTGCACGATGGCATGTTCTTTAGACTCGGTTATGATCTCGAACATATGTACTGCCCCATCTTCTCCTCCGGTAAAAAGGAAGTCTCCGGTGCAGCTCCATGCTAAGGCATATGCATAACCAACATGAGCATTATGAATGACACTTAACAGAGTCCCACTGTTAGTCTCCCAAACATACACATCCGAACCGGACATGCACTCAGCAGTCGTGTCGTGAGGAACAAGGCTCCAAACCCAGTCGCCGTGCCTCAAGATCTGTGTCCACTTAAGTGATCACCGGTTCCAGACACGAACAGTCATATCCCAAGAACCACTATATATCCTAGTAAGGTCCAAAGCAAGAGAAGTTATAGGCCCCTCGTGTTCCCAAAGCCGAACAAATGCTCAAGACCCTCAACTGCCTTCCAACAATGGATAAATCCATCAGTACCCCCAGCAACCAATAATTTAGTATCTGCTGCGATTGCCCTAATAGTACAACCAAGTGGCCGGGACGACGAGATTGACAACCCCTCTTCCATATCCCACATTCGAACAACCGAGTCATATCCGGCTATAAAAATGAGCTTGGCAGAAGCCAATAAAAACACGGTTTGAACAGCTTCAGTATGACCGTGTAGAACATCAATGCTATACCTTCCTAAAAAAGTCTTGCTCCTATACTCCCTCTCCACAAACAATTCCTTCCATTGCTTCTCATCTGAAAACCGAGCAGCGGTCGGTAAAACCCACCTCTCACAATAAAATTCCTTCCAAACCTGATGCTCAGATGCAATATTATGGAGAGTGGTCGACACACAAGACACTACACCAAGCTCCTTAGGGTCAAGACAATTCAAAATCTCCGATATCAAGGCCGGTGGGAGATCGGTGATTGTGCACCAGACATTCGAAAAAACATCATTAGGAGGTAACTTTTTCGAACTACAATAACTCGGACTCCCTTTCGTAGGATTACAACCCAATGCCAGTTTCGAAAGTTCTAAATCCTTGGTTACGGAATTGAAACTAAAACGATTTGTTTCACAACAGTTTGCTAAATTCTTAAAAGCCTCGGTGCTTTCCTGGCACTCAAATTCCGTAAAATGAATGAATTTTTAACCTAAAACCATTAATTCAAATGCTTAAACCAAAATCCCCGGATTGGGAAGCTTAAAAAAAGGAAATTTAACCCAGAACCTCAACTTAGTCCTAAATTAAAAAATGCCAAGATATAACAAACCCTAGAAATTAAAACCCAAAGTGTTCAAGCAGGTTAAAAAAATCAGAAAATATCCAATCAATTTGACTGCAGGATCTATTAAAAAAATCCAGAAAAGAAGAATGATACCTCCGACGATTGATAATTCGTCCTTCGGATCAGAGAAGCTGTTCGAAGGTTAAGAGAATACGAGAAATATGCATTGGAAACTTGGGGGCAAAAGCGGGGAAAAGGTGAAGAGTAGAATTTTCATCACCGTTCATTTCTAAGAAATGGATCGGACGGTAGATATGATGAGATTAGTTATCATTGAATTTTATGGGACGTTGGATTAGAATGGGTAGGCTGGGTGAAAATGTTATTAGGTTCACTATTTTAATATATATAAGGTTTATTTGTCAATTTCCCCCTAAACTATACCTATTCTTATATCCAATAGATTCAATAATTTTATTTGGTTGAAATCGACCTTTAATATTTATTTGAATTTCTGTTTTTAATTTTTTAAAGTATTTTTTTAACTTTTACTCTTTCATTTTTTATTAATATAATTTTGTTATAAATATGATTAATTGATTAATTATCAACATTTATTATTAGTGTTTCATTTTTATATGTATTTAATTATTGACATAACAAGTATTATATTATATCAACAATAAATTACCAAAAAATTATATAAATATTCTGAGCCCTAAACTCTTGTTTATATATAATTGCACGAGAATAATAACTTTGTATAATAAAACTATATCATTTCCCCTTAATTTATTAATTTTAAAAAAGTTTAGGATCTAACCTAACAAAAATTAGATCATAAATTTCATAATAAACTACGTGTTTAGTTTCTAAATTATTAGTTTTGGTCTGTTTTAATGTTTAAATTTTCAATTTTTTTCACAATCATGTCTAATGTTTAGTTTCTGTTTCGGTTTAGTACATTTTTATTAAAAACTTAATAGGTGATTTGCATATAGTACTTTTTTATGGGTAAATTGTATCATTTATCATTCAACTTTCTTCTCATCCTATTTTGGTCACTAAAGTTTATTTTTTTAATTTAATCACTTAACTTTCAAATTACTCCTAATTTAATCATTCTAACTTTCAATTTTTTTTATTTATATATTAATAAAATAATAATAAGAAATATCATGTCACAAAAATTATTAATAAAATAAATTAGAATGATTACAATATGAGCAATTTGAAAATTGAGTAGTTAAATTAAAAAATTTTAAACTTTGATATCATAATAGGAGTGAGAAGACAGTTGAGTGATGAATAATGTAATTTACCCATAGAAAATACAGTCTCGTTACATTTTTAACAGCGAGGTACTAAATTGAAGAGGGGTACTAAATTGAAACAAAAACTAAATGTTAAGTATAATTTTTAAAAAAATTGAAACTAAAACAGATCAAAACTCATAACATGCAGCTAGAGATGCAGAGAAGCCTGATTTCAATCCGATCCGGATCGGATAAAAACCGATCCGGTTTTTTCCCCCAACCCAAAAACCGGATTTTAAAAAAACCGAATCAGATCCTAACCGGTTTGGAGGGCCGGATGGTGTAACCGGTGTAATCGGTTTCGGTTTTAAAAAAAAAACCAGTTTTTTTTTAAAAAACCGGATTTTTCGGATAAAAATCCAGTTTTTTAAAAAAACAAGATTTTTTTTCAGATAAAAAACTGGTTTTTTATCCGGTTTGAAAAAAAACCGGTTTTTAATCCGGTAAAAAAACCGGTCGTTTAATTTTTTCCCAAACCGGTTATACTATCCGGTTTTTAAATATCCGATCCGATTTTAAAAAAAATCGATTTTTCCAATATCCGGTTTCAAATATTTTTTAGACAAAATCGGATATTCGAATTTTTTGTGCACCTCTACATGCAGCAGCGTTAAAGCTTTGATCAGTTTCTTGCATTGTTCGTTGATTCCCTAGCGAATAGTAGGAAGTGATGTTTCCCGAACGTGAGGGCCGAGTGAAAACGGACAGCAATTTTCAAAGTTGACAGTCTTGCAGAAGAAGCTCGTCTGGTATGAAAGGATGAATTTTTCAGTTTTTGCAGGCTTGTTCCTGTGTTCCCTGTTTTTATTCATATCGCAAAACAAAGCATACCTATTTCATATATGAATTCCGTCCAACATTTTTCCAAAGAAGATTGCTTGTTATAATCCCAACGTTTCGCTTAGTTATCAAGACTGTTTATCACTCAACATGATTTGTTTATCTAAGGAGCACGTGAGTTTGTAAAAAAAAAAACCAATAGATAAACTACCTATTTACTCTACTTATTCCAAGTTTCTGTCTTAGTCACTACTTTTATTTTAAAATCAAATCTAACGTTTTGTTTCATTTCTATTTCGATCACCCTTCGTTAAAAATATAACGTTAGTTTTGAAAAGAAAATACCATAGCAATATTATCAGTAGTTTTTTAACGGCATGTGATCAAAATATAAACAAACGTTTCAAAACAGAAACAATAGATGAGTAATTAAATAGGTAGTTTATCCCAAAAGGGAAATTGGCCAGAACAATATAGCTTAGATGGAATTAGTCTTGGAACCCTCTATATAAAAAGAACAAGAATGTTTATGTATCATATTACATTACCTGCAAAATCACCCACTATTTTTGTCAGTGTAATTAAAATTCTATATAGCCCTTACTCCCAACCCATACTCTTCATTCGAAGAAAAATGATCGAAATCCGCAGCACCACTGTTTTCCAAATTTAAAAACATGTCGTATCCGACACTCGCTTCAAATCCGGAAAACATATGAATAACACCCTCCTCCCACCAACCAATTTCTTCTGTTTCAAGACACTACTCTTAATGTGCTCAGAATATGACTATTTGCAAAATCTTTTATACTAAGAAGATAAAAAGGAAACACAGGTGCTGGGATTTCGAATTCCAATTGTATAATTTGTGTAAAACACAAAAAAGCTGGGATGAGAAGAGCAAACCCTAGCCAGTCGACCAATTTATCCATTTTCTTGTGGCTTCTATTCATCTTTTCTTCACTTGCATACTTAATATCCGAAAAATCAATATGCAAGGATTATGGTTTTAATTAACTAATCATCGTCGTCTGTTATCAAAGCAAATGAGAGAGGTTTGAACTTGTACCCATCACCGTGGTAGAATTTGTTCTGAAATTCCACCCAGTGAAGACGCAGGGCGTGAAGGAAAGCACTGAGGGTCTCCATCATGAGCAGTATGAAAGCAGTTGCGAAAGCAAACACCGCAAGCCCAACTAATCGAATGATGAAGCTGTCGTACCTGTAATAATCATTCCTCATCGGGTCATTATCATTTACCCATAGAACAGTTACAAGGATCAAGAGAGTAGTGAATGCTTAAACACATTGGGCATGTGAAAACATGGCACATATTAGCATATAGAGAATCTACTTTGTGCTATCCGATGAAGTTATTCAATTCACACTCAAAAACTGTAACCTCGGAAAGAGAACATGAAGAGATGGACAATGTTGAAACATGCACCATGTAGAACAGTCAAAGAACTCACCCCCATGCAAGTAGTAGGACTTTCTCGTAGAAAACAGTTGATAATTCAGAGTGCGCCAAACTGTAACGTATTAGAAGTAGACATTAACCAACAGATTTATTTAAGAGATGGGTGCAACACATTGAAACTCAGAAAATCATAGTTCCTACCTCAAAGCCCAAAGTCGAAGATACGATGCCGTGTTAGAGACAGCACCCAGAACAAACTCGATGGAGTGTATCATTTGGTGCACAAAAACCTCACTAAAGTTGAACTCCTCATGATGTTGACGTGCAGAATCAGGTTCCACATCAAGATCAAACTCGGATGTACCAAGCAAGCCATAGGTGCGACCTTGAAATCTCTAATACATATTGAAGGAAAAAAGTTCAAATAATCAACAAGACATTCATTCGAACTATTCCAAATTTATTCTAACAGAAGAAATAGCAAATTAGGATTAAGAAAGCAAGACCCAAGAAAGGCCAACCACAGTACCTCAGAATTAAGCTTCTTCAAAATAAAAGGTTTAGGAAAGAGCATCCATGGGACCGCAACTAATGCCAGAAGAAGCAATACAATCTGCACAATTTAAGCAGAGCAATAGATTGCTTAGAAGACTTGAAATACAATAATAGTCAAATAACAGTATGCAACAGTAGCCAGGAGAGAGAAAAACACACCTGAAGTGCTCTTTGGCCCCAAAACAACTCATTATCACCAAGATCATCGGTGGGACTCAAAAACATATAGATCATCACATGGTAAAGGTCCGCTTGAGAACCAGTGCACCACTTAATTATAATGAGCAATGAAAGATACCCAAAAAGGGAGTTGAGAAATATCATCTGTGGCACAAACTGATACCTAACATTAAGATGCAAAGCAAGCTTCAGTTTAATCCCTTTAGGAAAGCAAGTGGAAAACAAATCATAAGTTAGAGCAAGAAACACACACCTAATATCCAAGGAGTTGCGGAAAAAACGTGCATTGAAATAACTTAATATAATTCCTAAGTTCATCTGGGCCACACCAAGCAAAATTGACATCTTCATTTTAAGAGAGTTGAGAAAAGGCAACTCTGAACGACTTCCACGCCAACTTGGATCCACACCAAATGGGTATGGATCACGAAATTTAACTAAACCAGCAGTCTGAGCATCACTGAGCAACACAAAGAATAATAGCAGTGAAGTAATAAAAGTAGTTGTGGAAAAAAGAATAACTTTATTTAGGTATCTAAAAGCAATGATATAAACCTGCAAGTAGCATCTCGGCATTTGTAAGCAGAACCACCAAATATGTGAAAGGGAACAGAGAAGAATTCGTTGTAAATTAACCCACAATAAATTGAAAAAAGTGACATTAAAAGGAGTACATAGCGTCCTCCAAACAGCATTTCCATAAAGCTTCCAAGCTTCTGTAAGGTACCAAATGAGCAAATTAGATTACAATAATTACTAGCTACAGATGAATTAACAGATATGAAAATAACAGAGGAAGACATCAGAAACGCGGAAAATCTGTTTAGACGATATTCATAAACCTGTATTACAGATTTAACGAATCAGACAAGTTTATGCAGTATGTTATCAATAGATCAACCCAACGGTAGAAACCATCAGTGAAGAATTAATGAGTAACTAAAATAAAATGTAGCGCCGTGTCATTGTTAAAGCTCTAACAGTTCCAATGAGAAATCCTACCCATTAAAAACAATATCTAGTCCATATTGTTATAACAATGTTTCTACCATACACATAAAGGTTCGCCTGTTAATTTCAACTCTATACATATATGTTTGCAAACATGCCTGAGTGCTGAGCCTGCTTTCTCGAGTGATGAGGACCAATGCTCCCAATAACAAGCATATTCCATGACCCCAATCACCAAACATCACCGCGAAAAGAAATGGAAAAGTAACCACAGTGTAAACTGCAGGATTTGCCTCCTGATATCTAGCAACACTGCAAAAGTTCCAATGTCAGTATTCTGATAAGTTATATAGGTAACAAGTAAATGTGTCACTACTAAACATATAAATCGCATATCCTGAAGTCACTATGACTCAATGAATCATTGAATAGGTCAAGAATGCATAAACTAGCAGTTATAATATGGAGATGCTTCAACTTTTGACATATTATAGCGTCATTGCATAAATGTTCTAACAGCTATAACTGTTAGGAACCAAATCATGTTGACCATGAAACAGGTGTTTTCCCCACTAGCATAATATATCTGCCATCTAAAACGCAGATCATCCATATATATATGAAAGCATATACTCAGGTATAATTGAATACAATAAGATTCTTAATACTGGAGTAACTGGACAACCATCATATTTAAATTGACTAGTTTATACATTTTTTCTATATCAACAAAAAGCATGTCAGTCATAAGTTAAAGCAACAAATCATCATGCTAGAACTCACCCATATGCATCGACAATTTCCTGATAAGCATTTGTGAAATGGTTTGTTCTGAAATATGTAGGAGGTGATTCCACAGCATCCATCACATGAAAAATTATACCTAGTTGCGAATTGCTATCAAATGTTGCCCGTTGCAGTGCTTCTTGAATCTGTTAGGCAAAAGAACCTACTTCCTCAATTCTAAGGCTGGAAAGCTCCAACAGAAAATAAAGAAGGCGGAGAACAAAAACACAGAAATTAGATTGATGATGCATAATGAGATACCTGAGCTTTTGCAAATATAGGGCACCATCCCTCCCCAACAAGACATTTTTTAGTAACATCAAAGTTCAACATATTCAATGTATCATATACAGCTTTCTCCCTTCGTACCTAGTTTAAAAAAAGAAAAGTACAAGCTTCTCAGTTGATAATATATACAGCAACATACCATACGGGATTTTTATGCGCTAATTTAGGTATTTTGCACTTTTTATTTTTGATATTTTGCACATTGTGATGTTCATTGCTCCAGCAAATTCACTAAAGCACATCTTACCATGCCCATCCATTGTGTTAGATGGTAACCAATTGAAGTCAGAGCTTTATTTCGATGGCGAATACCAGTATCCAATGTGGTCTCCAAGTCAGAAAGATGTGACGAGACCTGTACAAAAAATAAATATCAACTGGAAGAATACAGATTTCCATTGTAACTCCAACAATAAAAACCATCTCAAGCATATTTATACACAAGTGTGGAAGATAATATATAGCCACACTAAATTGAAGTTTGCATTATTGACTCTTGAATATTCCAGAATAAAAAATACGAAAAAGAAAAATCAGAGATGTTAGGCCATCTCCTCAAAGAATCAAGGCACATCATTTTAGGCCTGGTTGTGAAGATCAAACGAACATTAACATAATTGTATTTAATTCAAAACATGATTTGATTAGTATAATAGGCACAATATATATATATATATATAATGGCAATTTCCAGACTTTTGCTTCGATGTGTCAAGAGGGTTCATAAAATAGTTAACATCATGACCCTGCACTTACTTCTCTAGTTATTTGCCTTTGTTTAGTAATGTCATCAGGAACAGGGTAGCAATTAGCAGCAAATGCTTCACAAATTTTCAAAATCTTTGTCCTTGCCTGTTCCCCAGAAAAATGAACTACAAATACTGTTTTCTCAACCTGCAATGATGAACCAAAAAAAAAATTGTAAAGATTCTTTCTTTCGACATTGCAAGTCTCGCAACCTAAAAACAATACCATAAACATCTTTGGACGAAGACAAACCATAGATATAATATATCAAATAACAGTAACAATTTCCAAATTAAAAGATAGCTGAAGCAAGAATTAACAACATAATTGATAGAGCTAGGGGGGGGGGAATAAACAAACCATTTCACCAGTTAGAGGATCCATAATTTCTTCACTGGCCGGTGCCTGATTAAAAAGCATATTGCCTCTAGTAGCACGAAATAACATCCTCTCAAATCTAAGAGCCTTGGACTTGCAAATAATTCCACTTACGAATCTTAAACCAGATTGGTCTGCAGGCCTCATTTCCTGTAAAGTGAATAATCATATACTAGATGAAACCAAAGTAATAGGTTTGCGAAAAAAGTAATTTAATAACAGAATCAACAAACACCTGCTCAAGTAATGATGATGTCTCAACATAATCATTATTAGAGAATACATTCTCACTTAATTCCCTTTCCGCAGTACCTTCATGGTCACTACTTGGCAAAAGAAAACCACATGCCTGGAATTTGAGCAAAATGTATGAGAAAGCATCCAGTATTCAACATAAAGATTTCAACCCAAATCTTTCCAAAAACGCAACATTAAAAATGGAAACGGAAAACAGCATTCACCTCATGTGCTACTTGCCTTGCTATCATATTATTCTTCTTTTTAATTTTTCCCTTCAGTTTTGCAAAGTAATTTCTATCATGTTTGATGGAACAAAGAGAAACAGGACAGGTAAAAAGCTTAACTCTTTAACAATGGCTTGAATATGAACTTGATACAAAATATGGAAGTACTTATTGCTAAACCATGGACAGCAACACAATGGCTTCAGGAAATCAACCAACTGGAGGAATAATTAAATATTACAGATTTTACCTTTTCAGTAAAGAGGGTGCAAATAAAGTAGGATACAAAAGACTAACATAGCAATTTACAAAGGCGTTTAGAGGAGGGAGGAAAGAGAGAAAATGTAAAACCCTAACATGACTGTATCAAGTGAAGACTGGAAAGAAATTGATAAATAAATGCAAGAAATGCTCCCAAGCACATTAATATCTAATAACTGAGGAAAAATGAGTCAAGAAATTCACCTTTTGCAAAACCAACTTGAACTCAAGGAGCTCATTGTATGTTTGTTGAAGTTTTTCACTGTTGGCGTTCATTTCAATTAGTTCATGCTCATGTTCGGCAAGTTGTATCTGAAATTGTATCAAACACAAAATATGATACACTTTATCCACAAAAGACTACTATATCTTATATTAACTATTATTACATTCAATAAACTACAACTTTCTGTCACTGCTGGAATAACAAAATGGAAAATGCAAAGCAAGTCAAAGGGGGAAAGGAATCATTATTTGGTAGGGGTAGAGCAGATGAACCTCTAATTCTTCCAATTCTAGATCTGGCTCCACAACAGGGTGTACTGAAGATAGTAGACCAGCTTTACTAATTTGATCTTTGAAAAAGCGTAGCTTTCTTGACATTTCTCCACAACGCTTCACCTGTTAAGGCCTCTCAGAAATTAAAGTGACTACTGTAGATGATAATCACAAATCACTCAGGTTGATTCACTTTAATACTACAATGTATATACAATCAATTACACAAGGATATATCTAAAGAATTGGGAGATTCTCTCATTCAACTGACCTTACAAAGTTATTAAATAATACTTGATATTTGCTCAATAAAACAAATATTTAATAATTGATTAGTAGGTAGGCCAGAACATATAGCACAAAACTTAAACTATGCCATAAGTACATACCTGATTAACAAAGGTTCGTTGGAAAGGACTTTTCTCAGAGTTTAGCTGCCACAGAAGAGGCAAAAGTATGTAACCATTAGCATATTCAATTGATGGTTGCAAAAGTAACGTCCTGAATTTAGCTAGCAACCAAAACACAGCCAAATGGTTATAATACCAAAGGACCATTTTACCAGAACAAGGAGATGACACGGTAAACAGTCTTAACAACTTCTAAAGCAAAAAAAGATAATTAATTAAAAAATCACCAAAAATCCATCAGAACATGTATGCTGAGAACATAGAAGCAAAAACAATTCAGAACTAAAGATATTCAAGATTAGTAGACATTTGGAAATATTTTCATTCCCAAGAAAACTCTCTTGATATCAGAGCACCAAGACCGGTTTACAGTACATAATATTAATGCAATATTATGAAAATTCTAGAAAATGGTTATTTCCAAATTAAGGTCTCAATAAAACAGTCTTTAAGGGGCAGGTTGTCTAACCCTTTAACATCTTCGCAGTAAGTTTCAACTTGTTATCAGTCATCACCTAAATCCAGACTCTTACACTCAACCTTCACATGCATGAAACCGACAGATTTTAATTACAAAACCGATATACATATGGATAATTTTAGTTTACCAAAATTTTTTAAATGACTTTCAGTCATTACTACTTATTCATAATAGAAACATTTCTTCCTGAAAAAGTAACATATTTTGAATCCCATGCTCCATTCGTATAAAATCAGCAAAAAAACTACATTTTATCCGCTGGATTAAACACCAACTCAGCTAAATTGCACTTCTATTTAGGTGGATGAGGGTTCCAACTTTGGACTTGTAAGCCCACCAAAAGCTAATTTATATGTTTTATACCCGAATAAAGCTTAATGCAAGCTCTAAAGTTACCACAATATTAACTAAAAAGGAAATCAGTACAATCTTCTCCAATAAGTTCAAAGATAAGTCCTAAATAAGCTCAAATTCAAAAATCTCTTGAACCAAGCCAGAAACTACCTTGTAATTATCAGAAACCAAAACTCGATCATTAAAACTTCCTTGCTCTGAGTCTAAGTCTATTGTATCTTAACAAGATCCAGCAATTCCAGCAAATCTCAAATCAAACAGGGGACTGACGCATAAACTCAATTCAGCTAAGATCTCACGCACTCATAAAATTCAACCACCAGAAAAACACCAAATCAATGACCATATTCATATTCGCATTGACTCCAACAATGTGAATATGCAGCAAAACAATAGCAACTAAATGAATCAAATAGCAGGCTCTCTTACATCATCTGAACGTAAATTTCAACTAAAAAAGATCAATTACATTTACTATTGGTGCCAAAGAAAAATCAAATCAAATCCGGAATTCTCCTCAGCGAGAATTATTCGAGAAAAGGTTAAAACTAAAGCAGCGTAAAAAGGAGAATCAGATCTGAGTAAAGAGAGAAGTACATCACGGAACTGGAGGAGACCGATTTCCCCGAGATAAGAAATGGCTCGGTGAGCTGACTCGACGGGAATAATTAGTTGAACAAGCGTCATTTTCTCCGACCGCATCAGATCCATCGACGGCAAGTTATCTAAGAACTTCTCTGTTCTTTCCATTTTCTCTCTCTTTGTCTCTCTCTCTCTCTCTCTCTCGAGAATCAAACAGAAAAAAAATGAAGTTTGGATCTGAGACTAAGAACGTTTGCCTTCGCTTGGTCTCCCCGTCGCAGCTGATCGAAAATTGGAAATTTCAGAATAAATTCGCTTCCTCTTTTTCAAGTGGAATTTTGAAACATGAAAATTACTAAAAGGAACTTTTTATTCTCAGTTCCTTTGGGTTTTTAAGTTTTTCAGTGGTATAACTTTAAATTTACTCTCTATACTTTATAAAGTCTCTAAAATTAGTTCATTTAGTTTAACTTATTAAATTTTGGCCATACTTTATTAAATAATGAGTTTTAAAATTAGTAATTCAATCATTTATATTCAATATCATTAATTTATAAGTAAAAATTTAATAAAAATTAATAATTCAACCATTTATGAAAATTAGTAAAAGCAAGAATTCAATAATTTGTATACAACAAATTATAAATCTTTTGTTTAGCAACAATTGGATGATTTTTTTATCTTTCATAAGTATGAGGACTAAAATTTGAAAATAAATAAAGTAAAAGAACTAATTTCAAGTTTTGTAAAGTAGGGATGAATTTTCGTGGTTAGACCTTTTTAATTTTTTATTTAGTTAAAGTGGGAATTGACTTTTGAGGTCAGAATCCATCGAGGAATTAGGTGGGTTGGGCCCAATATTGCTTGGTTTTGGAGGTCTTTTTGCCCAATAAGCCACTTGGGTTTTTTATTTAGCCCATTAGGGCATCTATGTTTCTTATTTTGGAGAATGCAGTAAAACCTATAGTGAATCCAAAACTCGCACCACGAGGTGATGAGTTCAATGAGATATATTATTTTAATGGACCTAGATGAGTGGCTCCCATGTGGATTATTTATTTATTGAAATTAAAGAGATTTGTCACCTCAACGTGACGAGTCTGTTTAAAAAAATTAAAAATTATAAAAATAAATTTAATATTAAAACTGAGAAAAAAAATTCATCATCTCGAGGTGATGAGTTTAATTGAATTCAAAAAAATATATCCGTTAGTCGATGGGAAACATCAATGGTCATATTGCAACGATCACCATGGAACTCGTCACCTCGAGATGACGAAATCCGGAGGTGACGAGTTGACACTGTCGTTTCAATGTCAAAATAAATTCATTTTTCTCAATTAATAAATAAGGAGATACGTAATATAGAGAAATAAGGGTCGAATCCTCAGGGACTTAGAAAATCACAAATTTATGTTCGAATGGTTTTTAACCAGGCGAAAAATAGTAAAATGAGGGGTTTGCAATATGAGATTTAAATAGTAAAAATGAATAAATAAATTAAAGTAATTAAAGTAAAAATAGGATGATGAAGATTATGAATAAATATGGTAAAAATCGCCTCAAGCTTCGCTTTTGATTCAATTTCCTTTAGATCATCGAATAAGATTTTCTCTTCGGGATTCACGTCGGTTACTTTGTCTACAAGGGCTATCCCCGTGACTCTATCTTGTATACCGAACACCCAAGGCAATCTTTGATTCCGACTTCGATAATTGATTCTAACGACATCAATTATCGTAGATCAGTTACCGTTTAAGTTTGTAGCGTCCGACTCGGATTGTTGCTTCTATAACCGTCAATTCCGATCTCAATTCTCTCTTGGCGAAACTATCTCGCCAAGTGTGTTCCCAGGAAGTCGAATTGCTTTCTATAAGCTGAATCTTCCTCCCACACATTTAATCGCAACAACCTCTTGACCAAAGTCAATCTTTGATTTTGAAAACTGTTTTGATTTTGAAAAATAAGCGCAGAGGTTGAGAGAGATATTCTGAATATATTAAGGGGCCGTTTCAATTCTCTCGTTGGAATTGAATCATCACGACAACTCTCGACTTTTGAAAAGTTTAGCTAAGCATGACAAAAGTCATACTTAGCATTTTGAAAACAAAGCTTGAAAATAAAAGAAAGTAAAAAGAGAAAACTTTAATAAAACTAGAGAGAAAAGAAGAATGTAATTTGAGTGATGAGTTTAGGCTTACCCCAAATGGGTATTTATAGCCTCTCAAAGCCTAAAGTATAAGCAAAGAAAATAATAAAATAATACAAAAGATAATTGTTTTTAAATTTAAATTCAAACTTAAACTAGTCTCCTAATGCAATTCTATTCGTCAATCTTCCAGAAGGCGTGCGGATGAAGTCTTCTAGAAACTGCTGCTTACTGGACCTTCTAGAAACTGCCACATCATACCGCGTCGTGCCCAGAGTCGTACCCATGTCTCCAGCCTTGACCAAATAATAAAAAAATACAGAATTTGCCCGTTTTGTCACAAATTCTGGAAAGCAAGAACCTGTACAAAAATAAGTATAACACGACCAATTCAGTAGCAATAACTCCACAAAATCAAAGAAATAACGAGGAAAGATTAAAGATTTTGAACACTCATCAAATTCCCCCTCACTTATCTCATGTTTGTCCTCAAGTATGATTAATCAAATTAGTCAAAAATTTTATTTACCGTTCTTTGTCAAGTCTCACATTCAAGGAAGCAAGGTAGAGACCACAATAACTATTCTAGTCAAGAAATCAATCAATTGAACATCACCAATTGGAGCAAGTCAAGTGCAATTGTAATATCCATTCATTTATTAATCTCAATGCTCATAACTCAACACCTTATCGGGATTCACTCAAATCACTCAATGTGTTTGGGGTAAAGAAACTCTCAATGTCAGAATTGACAATGTATTACCATAAGCCTGTAAGTAAATCAAATATCCACTACTAATAAGAACAAAATGCATAAATCTAAGGGTCTTTTATTGGTTGTAACGGGGCTTAGGTAAAGGTGGGGAAAAGACTAAAAATATGGCTAAAATTCAAGGCAAGGAACTAACAAATAATAATCTCAACTCCATCAAAACATTAAGCACAACAAGATAAAAAGACGACATATCAAACAACAAATTTCTTGTCGAAATACATTTTTTTCTTTTTCACACTTTTGTTGTTTTGTTTTCCATTTTTTTCTTTCATGTCTTTTTTTCTCTCTCTCTCTTTCTTTCGAACATCCCTTTTTTTCGAACTGCTATTTTTTTTCTTTCTAACATTTTTTTTCGATGGGGAATACAACGGTAAAATTATTCACTTGCCCTGAAAAATGTAGAAAAGAGGGATAAAATAGAAAAGCTCGAGTTTATGAATATGGTGAAAACAAAGAAACGAGCATAGGCTCAAAAGTGGTTAGCTAAGGGGAAAATACATAGGTAGGCTTTTTAGTGGGGAAACGGAATGGTTAATCCTAAGGTGCCCAAATCATCTTTAAGCATTATGGTCATGTGTAATCTCGACAGTATTTAACATGCAGGTTCTAGAATATCAATGCCAAATTTGACACACTCAATCAAACAAAATGAGAGCGAGAATGATATGCTCGTTAAGGCTCAAATCTCACCAAATTGTTTCATGCATTGAGCTAATCACATTTCAACAAACGAAGTATGGAATATCACAAAAACACCAACTTATCACAATTCATTATATTCGCTATCAAGAACACCCTAACTTAAATAATCATGTGTTCCCAAACAAGCATAGCATTACAAAAATTTTCAACAAGACAAAGACAATCAATGAAATTTTCGACAAATCCAACCAACACATACTAGCATCGAAACATAAAGATAATCAAAGGAAAATTCAATCATACACTCTACTCCCCCTCACTTAAAGCGTTTTGCCTCAAAACGAAAAAAAATTAAAGTGCAAGAGAATAAATAGAGTATTCTCCGGATTTAATGTCAACCACGGCCACGTCCTCGATCGCGATGAGAGGTGCTAGGACGTAAGTAGGAGAGGATCTCTGTGATGTTTGTCTCAATGGAGTGGAGGTGGTCGTGGACTTCATCTATTTGGGATTGCATATCCGGGCGTGGGGCTGCAGGAGGCGACACTGGTGTGTTTCGACGTGTGAAGACTCGCTCGTTGCGAGGAGTGAGGACACCCGGTGGAATGAAGTAAGGTGCACTTGGGGTTCCCGCAAGTAGGCCCATAGAGTCCAAGCATCACTCATCTAAAGCATCAAAAAAGAATAGCTCGACTCGGCTTAAGGAGGAGGATGGACGATGAGACGTGCTTGGCCCGGGACGGAAGGAGGCGGTAGGCGCAAAGGCCGAGTGATACGGCGATATCGAAACTTGGCCACGTCTTTGCGTCGATTGAACCGGGGGTGGTGGCGGAAGGGAGTTGGAGTCGCTTGGCACCTCGATGAACGCCAGTGCATTTAAGCGACAACGTCCTCCAAGTATGGTAGGAGGAGGAGCGTCGGTGGCATCGGGTCAGTTTCACGTGCGTACCATAGCGGAATAGGGAGAAGCTTGTAGGCGTGAGGAAGTTGAAGCGAGGAAGGATTTTTTGTGTCGTAGCCGCCGTCGATGAGAAGAATGAGGATTGCGTTTGGGGGGTTGTCGAGTAGGAGAAGAAAAATAGAGGAAGTTTATTTGATTTGGGTTTAACTTGATGCTGTCGTGCGTGGGGGAAGAGATTGAGTTAAAATGGGTTTTATTTGTTAAATGATAAATTGTTTGAAAATTGAAAAAGATGGAAAAATGGTGATAGGGTGGGGTCCACGTAAAATCAAAATGAGGGAAAGGATAAGGTGGGCGCCATAATCGTTAGATTAGGGGGAAATATTTTTGTTTTGCTAATGTGCATCGATCCCCCCTTGGGTTTTGCTAATGTGCACCGTTAATTAAACGGTGCGCACAGGCTTCTCATTTCTCCTTTTTTCTGCTCGACCGTGCACTGTAATTTCTGAGCTGTTCGAATGAAATTTTTTATAATTCTTCATCGTTCAAGTTCGAATAAAAATATTATGTTCCTGAAAAATAAATTCAAATTAAATTAAACATGTTTGATCGAATAAAATAAAACAAAAACAATAAATAAATAAATAAATAAAATGTAACAGAATTGAAAATAATGGGTTGCCTCCCATGAAGCGCTTTTGTTTAACGTCGTTAGCTCGACGACCTGATTCAGATTACATGTTTTTCTAAGTTGAGATCTTCAATTAAGAAAACTTTGTTATTCGCATAATACGGTTTAATCATGTGTCCATTTACTTTAAACTGAGTGCCCAAATTGTCTTCAATTTCGACTGCGCTATGA